TACTTAATGTATACTAAGCTGATCTTCTGTATATTAAGATAATCGAAAATGAATCTTGATGTGAATGGAAGGGGAGAGGGAGTGGGAAAGGGGAGGCTTGTTGAAGGGAGGGACGGTATGGGGGGGAAGCCATTGTAATCCATAAGTCGTACTTTGGAAAATTATATGCATTAAATAAAAGTTTAAAAAAAATCAAAAAAAAAAAGAAAAAGAAATATTGCAGTTGCAAATAAGTACAAAATGTTCTCTCTATCCCTCTATAGTGGTTCTGCAAGCAATACACCAAAACAGTCTAATACCCCAAGCTGCATTCTCAGTCACTTACTCTGCTTTCACAGATCCACAAGATTAAGTGTGCAAACAGAACTGAACCATTGTGGATTGAACTAAAATAAAACTTCTAAGCATATATTTTTTTCATAAGATAGGCATATTTTTCTCACTATGTTATGTGTGGTTATTAATTGGGAGAAGTAGATCACAAATGATTTTATTTACTAGTAGTGATTGAAAAGCAATATTTACAAATCATTTAAGATAAAATTATAGATTTAAAGATCCCTTATATCAGGCATCCATATATGCTCTCCAAAGGTTTTTTTTTTTTTTAGGATTTATTATTTGAAAGAGAAAATGAGAAACAGAGAAAGGGGAGAGAGATTTTCCATCTGCTGGTCCCAATCGGCCAGCTATTGGCCAAGCAGGAGCCAGGAGCCAGGAACTAATCCAGGTCTCTTGTGGGGATGGCTGGGGGCCAAGTACTTGGGCCGTCTTCTATTTTTTTTCCAGGTACATTGGCAGGGAGCTGGATTAGAAGTGAAGCAGCTGGGACTCAAATTAGCACACCCACATTGGATGCTACCATTACAGGCCTGGCTCAACCAGCTGCACAGTAAGCTGGCTGCTCTACCAGAGTTTCTAAAGTATGTGCGACAGATAAGTTCATATAACTGCTGTATTAATCTGAGTGCAATACAAACAACTCACCTAATTCCTATATAC